CGGCCCCGGCGTCGGGGCTGAGCGGAGGGTCCCCGCGGGACCCTGCCCGCCGCCGGGCTTGGGAGCTCCGAAAAATACGGGCGAGCCCTCCAGCCGGGCTGGGGCTGGTTTTGCCGCTTAATTACTGAGAATTAACCTCCAGGCCGTCAGCACAAGCCGCCGCGGAGGCGCGGGGCCCGTGTTTGTCCGTCCTTTCTTCGCGCTGCCGCCGGGTCCTTGGGTTAAAGGAGGAGCGATCAAATGGTGGCACGTTTGCATGTCGGAATAGCCCCCCGACCCGCGGCGCGGGGAGCGGCGAGCTCGGTGTCGGACTTCGGGGAGGGCTGTAGGGCAGCAGACCTTGTCAATGGATTAACCCTAATTTGCAGCTTGCTCTTTGGCTTCCCAAACGGAGTAATAACGTGCGCGCCTACCTGTAAAAAATACTTTTCTGTACGAAAACTGTATTTTCACAGAGGGACTACCTGAACAAATCGATTCTCTCTTTTTAAAAAAAAGTCTTACTCTACCTTTTTCTGCTGCTCCTGTCAGAATATTTTTCTCTTGCAATACATTTCTTTTGAATAGTTGGGATGGCTTTTAAGCCCTTTTCTCCTTAAGATATGTTTTTTCCCCTCCTAATCTGTTTTACTTGTTAAAGAAAATTCTTAAATTTTATTTAGGAAAAACATTAAGCTTTTTTTGTACCGAGAGGAAAAGTCAGTCCCTGTATGTTGTCTGTAGGGAAAAAACTCTTGGCTTGTATTTGGGTTTCTTCTCTACAGCAAAACATAAAGCTCTAAGGGCTGAGTTTGTTTTAGAAAACTCTCTTTGATGGTCCCCAAACATCTTTTCCTGCTATTGAAGACTGTCTTTCAACAGAAAAAAAAAAAAAAAAAAAGAAAAAAGGAACTTGGATTAATTTTACTAGAGAATCCACCATGCATCTGAACTCTGTTAAACTATGCACTTCCAAACAGAGCCCGTTCCCTGTAGGAATTAAAACAGCAGCAACATACCTTTCTTCCTAACAAACCTTGGAAAGCATTTGCTGTCATTCCTTGTTTTTCAGGCACAAATTGGCTAGCTTGTGTTAAAAGTAACAAAATCTTCCTGATACACGAACTCTTTTTAGTTCTTTTGGAGCTTATGTATTTCATTGTAGACCGTACGAGAGAGACTATCAATAAATATTATCTTTAAATAGCTTTCCTATCATTACGGAAATGCAAAAGCCTCTGTTCATAATCCTGTTGAAAACAGAGCCCTGAACTCATGTAGAGCAGCGGATTCAAAATAATTTTCTTAACAAAGGCATCTTGCATATGAAGAGTTCATCCTAAGGCACTGTTTGACCTCTTGGTCTCTCATTATTATCAAGTCATCAGAGGGTCTTTGGAGAGAAAGGGGAAAAAAACCCCCGAGATACAGTTTATTTGTAAAACCTACCATGTAGCTTTAAAGCACATTCACAATGAAGAACTAAAAAAAAATCTGTATGATTTCAGGAAGTCTTACAAAAACAAAGTTAGTGCAGATTACAGATTTTGGGGAAAGTGCAATGGAATTGAGAAGCGAGGATTTAAGAACAAAAGCTCTCTCAACTTAGATTAGAATACGGGGAGCAAAAGGCTATTTTAGACGCAAACATGTTTGCTTACGTATTAATTTCATGAACATAATTTCTTTAGGCATGACTATAATTGCTTATGAAAAATAGGGCATTGTCATGTCAAAACTGTGGCATGTGCCGCTCTGAATCTTTTTGGGGGCCAGGGGCTAAATTCTCCCTCTTCTTCTTTTTTAATTCTTTCTTTTTTAAAGTGACATTATTTCATAGTTGCGATCGCTTCGCTTACTGAATGCTTATTATGAAGCGAAGTACAACACATGACAGAAGCTCACCCAAACGTTGAATATATCATTTATATTTTACGACAGTGAATTATATAGAAGATTCTCAAGTAACTTTCAAATCATCAAACTGTAATTAAATATTGCAAAGACTGTCTGAAAATTCTTTAATTTTTAATGAAAGTTAAATATATATTGTCAGTCTACTCGAAGGTGTAGTATTTTAATGCATGACGCTCAGAACAAATTGGATAATGAAATGATTACTTTTAAATGAAACAGTTGCAGAAGCGTACATGTTTCAGCTGGCAAGTATCTTCTCGATACTCACACACGCACATTCACACACTCAATAATTGTGAATTCCCAGACTGAAATTACAGCTACTCTGAGGTTTCTGGTGGCAAATTAAAAATCCCACAGAAGCAAAGCTTGAATGAGTTAGGTTCCCCAGATCATACAGGAAAGTATCTGTGGCTCTTTTTTTTTATATTAAATATTTTTTTTTTTTTTAAACACGGACGCATCAGATTTAAATGTATTCTCTTTGTCTCACAGTTATAAATGGCAAGGTTTTGTACAGCTGCGGATTATTAAGTTAGGTAAGATAAAATAAAATCTGTTCTGCAAATCAGACCTAGATTTCTATATATAGGATTGCTACTCATAGATGTAACATAAATGTCCCATTAGCAGCATGCATTATATCAGCAGGTAGACAGGCAGGGCTTCGCTATGCTGGATGCTGTGTATATAATAGACAGTAGATGTTCCTGCTCCTATAGAGTTCTTGGTCTGAATAAGCCAGGGCTTGGTTTGTGTGGCTGTGGCCAACTAAGAAACTCATGGCAAGAGTCCTGTCACAGGCGGAATATGGGGATCTATGTGTCCTGGTGTGCGCGTGTACGTTCTCTATCAGCTGTGATGCAGTATGGGAAGTGGGGCTGGAGAGTGGCGTTAATGAAGTAACCAAGAATTTTGTTGCGAACTACATCGCAGGGCAGATCTGGGGTGTAGGTATGAACTATGCGTGCGCTGCCCCAAAATACGAGCTTTCGCTGCACGCGTGCTCCTTGGTAGCCTGGGCTGTGGGGCTTCCGAACGGGAAACCCAGGCAGGATTGATCTCAAAGTGCATCGTTTCAAGTTATATTTGGGATAATGTGCTTGGCCTTTGGTGGCAGCCCTAGAAAAGTGTTGGGTAAGATGGGAATTACATGCCTGTGAGGGGTCTCGCTACATTTCCAAAATGTGCCCCCGTCATTTAAAAATTGTAAATGCTACGCGCAAATCGTTACTGTTGTGGGGAAGCTCTTTTCAGTTAGAGTAACAACATTCGGCGTCAATACTGGCTTAATTAAATTTTCTTTTATGTTATCTTGGCACCTCATTTTACGTCGGGATCACATTCCTAATGTGTTCAAAACCCTGTAGGATCCCAAACTTTATAGCTGTTGCTTTCCGTAAAGCAGCAGCTCCTACCGCAGTAGGTCTGGCTCTAACAATGATGCATTTTGAAATTGCCTGCAAAATGTGAAATATGTCTGCTCTAATAAAACTGGAGTTTTTAGGCAAGTCTAAGGGTTTTAATATATTTACAGAGAAGAGATGCCTTCTATTCAGCTGTATTTTCATAAAGTTGAGATATTTCACTATTAGGGAAGATGGAGGAAATAAATCTGAAATACTTGTTCCCCACCCATTTTTCCTTCAGCCGTTCTCATCCATAAGATATAAGGGATGCTAATATGGCTCAGGCATCTTAAAAATCATAAGTTTTGCACGATAGCTATTGTCTAGTGCTGAGAGTCCTCATGAGTCAAAAATGCTTCCTTCAGACTTAGTCTCTGTTTATATTTTGCTTTTTTTCAGTACTTTAACTCTGGATGCAAATGGTTTTTCTGTTGACTTCTCTATCATTCTCTGATGTCTGCAGATATTTGATCAGCTCTCTATTCTGTGCATAGCATGGCCCTTCTCTGGCAGCTACACGCATGGGAAAAAAAAAATGTTATCAATAAGTTCAGAGGAGCCTCAGCAGACTCAGAGAAATTTCACACAAACATAAAACAAAACCTAACCCCTGTGACGGGGAAAGTTTACATTGCGCCAGATTTTAGCAGCTTTCTTGTGCCTTTGGTGCGATGTCAGAAGCGCAGGTGATTTTAATTTTCTTGTACAGAGAGGAATGGAGAAGTTTGGAATTTGCATGCATGATCAGGACCTGTGTTTGGGAAAATGTAAACTCATCACAGTGGAAAATGTGTTGTTTGGAGTCTGAGGGTGAAAACAAAGCTGAGGATTTTGGAGAGACTGCCTGAGCCAGATGGCCTGGTGCATTCCCAGTCTGGCAGCCCAACTGCTCCCTCCTGTATAATATACAGCCATTTGTTCTGGGATATTTACGCTAGAGCTGTTTCCATGTGAATGTTTGAAAACCATTAAAAATGAACATATTAGGAGAGATAAATTTATTTAATTTGTGTGAATACGTCGATAAGCAGGCTGTGTATCAAAGGCAGAGGGAGACTGGATAAAATAATTAGATGCTTCTGAATTGTGCGTTGAGAGACACAGCGAGAACTAACCGTCCTCGCCCTGGGACCCAGCGCTGCGCTACTTGTCCGGGATAGACCTCACTGGGATGAGTCAAAATTTTGCCTGGGGAAGGGGTAGAAACTCGGGTAATTAAGGGTTAAGTATCTGAAGCCAAATAAATGTAATTCACAGTATTTTCCATGTAGATATACAGTGGATACAAGCCTAATCCTCTCTGGGTGAAATTCTGGCCCATCTGAAGTCAATTGCAAAGCTCCTATTGAATTCGGTGGGGCCAGGATTTTATTTTCTCTCTGTGTGTATGGCTGTGTATGTCATTCCAAATCATTTTAGTTCTGTTTTTGAAAAGACCCTCATTTTAATGAGTTTTTCTTTCTCCTTTATTTCAATAAAGGAGATAGTTTGTTTTGTGAAACAGGAGGAATCTGAAAGCGAGTGGATTTAGATGCATGTTGGTGATTTCTCTCCTTCTCTTACTCTTTTAAAATCAAGGCCATGACATAACTGAATAATATAATGACCATGATCTCATTCCTTCAAGATTGTTTTTCATCCAGTTCAGAAAGCAGGATTGCTTGACTGGCAAACTGACACCACGAGACAATTCTGCCCTCAGTTGTACCGGCATAAATCTGGATTTATTCAGGAATAGTTAAGGACAAAATCTGGCTCTATATTTTTCCAACTTATTCGTCAACTCTTTTACTGCTTTATCCTGCCGTCTTTACTGAGGGAAAAAGTGGATTAAATGAAAACTTTAGCCTTGACATTTATATTACCCCCTCCCTTTTATTTTATTTATTTTTTTTTATGAACTCTGTCACTGAAAAGTTTAGGCGAATTGTTGGACGCACTTGTCTAGAAATGACTGCGATGTGCTCAATTTAGTAGTTTTTATTTGCTGGCAAGCAGTGAATTGCATTTGATTTAACTTTTTATGCAGCTCTCTTTAAATGGAAGTGAGGAAGTCTTGTATTTTGACACTAATTTTTTGGGGCCTGATTTTCAAATCCGTTTGTGCATGAGTGATCGTTACTCGCTGGGACTTCTTGTAGAAAGGTTACTTGAGTGAGTAATGGCTTACAAAATGGAAGATGAATTTTGTGGGGAAATGTTTAAGTTGTTCAGGAGAAGAAAAGCTATTTTGAAACACTTATGAAATAACACCGACTTAAAACTACACAAAGTAAACAAAAAGAAAAAAAGTCTATAATTTCGTATTTCCTTTGCTGGTGTTTTGTTGTGCAACTCTGATGTGTATTTGCAGGCTTATTTTTAGCTCTGCTGTGGTCTAAGTTTATACACTGTAACTTTCACTTTATCTCTCATTAATGTGATCCCTATTTGACAAAATCACGACGATGTTAGTGCGACAAGGAATCCTGCCGCAATCACCCTGTTTTAAAGCCTGAACTTTAAAAAATAATGATTAAAATAAAATTAAGATATTTTTGTTAAAAGAGGAGCTTTTCAAATCTTACAGTTAAAAATTTTCACAACAGTAACATTGTAGACCCTTCTTGTAAAAAATACTTCTGGCAGCTATAATGATCTGAAACTTTAGCAGTTCCTGTTTCCTTTTTGAAACTAATTGTAGAATTAATGCTTTAGAGCAGTGCAGTTTGCAAGATGGTAGAGTATCTGTAATGCTCTCGGGCAGCCATTCATGGAAGTAAACAGTTGGCGCTTTACGCACCCGTTCGCACAAGTAAATTGGGACATAGGAATGGGAGCTGGGGATGAGTTGCTCAGAAATTAACTCAGCAATTCCTCCCGCTTCCTAGAATTTCCTAGAAATTCCTGCAGGAATAGGGTATGCGGGAGTATCCGCGCTTAATGCGGAGAAAACAAAATGTGCATGGGTGCAACATCAGTAATTAAATGCAAATAAAGTGAAAAGCAAATCCTTAATGGAGAGGAAGGCAGAAGAATGTCATGCACGCAAAGAAGGGATCACTGATGCTAAACACAACAGACAAGGTGATTATGTACCACAGTGTTGACTCTGCCCGTTCATTATTGCTATTTAGTTGAGTTATTTAAGCGGGTACCTGGAGGTTAAGTAAGCATAGCAGCAGGAAGAGAAGAGGAAGAGAGAGGGGAGGGGAAAAAAAGAAAGTAAATTTTGTGCTCTGGTTCCTCATTTCTAGTGCTTCCTCGGCTTCACTGGCAACAAGGTAACCCATACTGGGTAAATTTATTTTAGGATTTGGAAGTCTAAGAAGAGTGAGCCGAGTCCAGCAGTCCTCTAGGGCACTGTTCCCCCCGTGTCATGCTGGGATTCTCCGGAGGTGGATGGGGACTGGAGGTGTTTGTCCCCACTAAAGGCCTCGGGGGTAGATCACCTCTTTTACCCTCATGCTCTGCACTCTCAGAGGCAGATTACAATTTAATTATTGATTAAGTCCAAAAAGTGCTGGGAGCTTCCCCCTTGCCCGGCCTGTCCTACTACCAGGTGAAACCTGATTTGGGGTTTTCCGGAGGCTTTGCAATGTCCTCACTGACCGACCCCATCAGGTGTCAGCCGGTTCCTTTGATTCCCTGGTTTTGGCTGGAAGAAGCTTTCCCCGATTTCCCCCTTTAATGCAGGGAAATGAGGATCTTCTGAATTTGTCCCACCTCCTGGTGTAACAACACAGGGATGACCGCAGTGCCATTTTCCAAGGCTTCTTGCAACCCATCCATAGCTCTCTTGGGCGCTGCGATGGAGGAACGTCAAGCAACTGAGCAGGGACGTGGGGGCCCAGCTGGGGTCAGGGGGGTTTGCTGGTGTCTGTGCTGTGGGGAATTTGGACGCGTCCTGCGACAACTTTCGTGTCCCCTTTATACGAGTGCTGGGTTTGCAGGGTTTGTGCCTCGCTGGTGGGAGTGAGGTGGCAGAAGTTAGGTGAAACTCTGTACCCGTTAGTTGCAGTGACACCAGCGGTCTCTGTTTTATCTTATCAGCAACCCCCCCCCCCCCCCCCCCCCCCCCCCCGCCACGTTGTGGGGGGGCGCACACAGACGACAAAAC